AAACCATTTCAGGTGACTACCTCTTGAAGCTCATGGAGAGAATGCCAAGAGTGTGCAAAGCAGTAATCAGAGCAAAGGGTGGCTATTTTGAAGAAACTAGAATATAAAACATGTTTTCAGTTATTTCACCTTTTTTTGTTAAGTACATAACTCCACATGTGTTCATTCATAGTTTTGATGCCTTCAGTGAGAATCTACAATGTAAATAGTCATGAAAATAAAGAAAACGCATTGAATGAGAAGGTGTGTCCAAACGTTTGGCCTGTACTGTACATACATACATACATATATACATATATATATATATACACATACATACATACATACATACCCTGTTTATTGCAGAAACCACAGCCGTTTCCAATTCGGTGTCTGAAACAACACTTAGTTGAGAATGGAGCGATCCCCTGTGAGGTTCAAAAGTTCCTCCACTGATCTCCAAGCATTCCCCGAATTTATGCAAATATCACAATAACAAATCAAAGAAATTAAAAACTTCATTTTCACGTTCTTCTGTTTTCATTTTAAAACAAAAAAATAACTACAAAACGTGTGATTTCTGTTGTTCTGTTTTCTCGTTTTTCTGTTCTGGTTTTAAATCAGAAAAAGAGAAGAACAAGATTGTTTTTCTGATTTGGTTTTGAAATGGAAAAATAAAAGAACAAAGGGTACACGGATTTATCCACTTCGCCTCTCTCTCTCTCTTTCTTTCTCTCTCTCTCTCTCTCTCTCTCTTTCTCTCTCTACTTATGTCAATTCTGGTACATTGAGAGCAAGTCTACTGGAGTCAAATTACTTGTATGTACATACGTACTTGGCGAATAAAGCTGATTCTGATTCTGATTGCCAAAGCACAATTACAATTTAAGACATTACAAATTTAAAAACAATTATTAACAATGTATTATTACAAATGAATAGACATACATTTTAAAGGAGAGAAAAAAACGTATTAAGTGAAGGAGTACATAAAAGGCAGACTGTGAACTGTGATGAGATTAACTCTCTGGTCAGAGAATGAACCAAAATCTTGGCGTTTACATTTAATTTTTGTAAAGAACTTTGTTCTGCTGTCTTTATATGTGCTACATTGTCGCAGGAAATGTTGCTCTGTCTCTACCTGTCTCTGAGGACAGAGCTGACACAGCCTGTCTTTTCCAGGTAGCCAGGTCTGCCTGTGTCGGCCAGTCTTTATGGCCAGGCTGTGATGACTGAGGCTGTACATAGTTAGTGTCTTTTTCAGTTTCTGATCTGTGGTCAGATAGTTTAGCATTGTGTACTGTCTGTTTAGGGCCAAATAGCTTTTAAGTTTGTTTTGGGTTTTTGTGGTAGATGTCCATTAGTTGATGTAGTTTTCTCAGACTCTACACTCTGCCCTTGTATTGTCAGTGTAATTGAAATGATTCCAAATTTTACTGCTTTTCCTGCTGTATTCATTTTCTCAACTTTTTTTTTTTACCTTTCCAGCATGTTGTCTCTCTCTGTAGCACCTGCTCTCTTTCTCTCTCTGTCTCCCTCCCTCCTGTTCATGTGCTCACTGTGCTGTGTGTGCCTGTAACCCCTGCCCCTCCCCCTTCTGCTCACCGCGGACACACAGATGACACCACACATATTGACCAATCATGTGCGGCTTGAATAGAAAAAAAACCCAAAAAAAACCCCAAAGCGGCGTCATTCACTTCAAAGAGCCGGCTCTATGAGCCATTTCGTTCGCGACCGACACATCACTAATACAGTAAAGTCGCTTTGATTAAAGATTGGAAAATTGTGAGCCAGATTCTTTGTGAAGACTAATGGAGATCCATAATAAAAAAAATAAAAAAAAAGGTATATCTATGTTCAAAGACTTTTTATAGCATAGAAAGCTCTCCTTCCCTTGTCTCTAAGATCATTAAAGGCCAGACTGAAATTTCCTGTTGAGGTTATTTTTAGTCCCAAACGTGTAGCTGTGTGTGTTCTATGTCAGTCGAGCCTAGGAGGAACCTGATATGGTTTCCCTGACACCTGGGTCGTTTCTGGAAGAAAGGCTGAGACCAGGGATATCTGACTGTCCTCATGATTTTGCTAATTCATCAATATAAATGTTAAACAAGGTGGGGCTGAGACTGCAGCCCTGTTTCATCCCCCTACTTTGCTAGAAGAAATCTATTTCCATATTGCCAATTTTTTTTAATTATATCATAAGTTTTCCCCCCACACCTTTTTAAATTAATTTCAGGACTGTTATACCAAATTGAGTCAAATGCATTTTTGAAATCCATGAAACAAGAGAATGTTTTGTTTTGTTTTGTTTTTTTTGTTTTTTTGGTGTACATGTTTGTTAGTGAGAGTATGGAGAGTATAGATATCGTCTGTAGCAGCTGTTTAGGATGCTGCAGAATTACTTCCCCAGATTGCTGCTGACACATATGCTTCAGTAACTGTTTGGGTCAAATTTATTTCCATTTTTAAAGATTGTTGTGAAAATTCCTTTGCTCCAGATGTCAGGAAAATATCCAATGTTCATAACAAGGTTGAATAATTTTATTATAGCAGTGTTGAACTTGTGGCTGCTAAATTTCAGCATTTTATTTGAAATATGCACAGGGCCACTGGCCTTCCTTGGTTGCCAGGTCTGGATCTCAGCCAGACCAACTATTTGAGGAGCTTCAGAAGAAAGACAGCGCTGTGCAGACCATGAAAGAGCAGCTGGACTCACTCCTCCTCAGCAATTTGATAATCAAAAGGGTTCTGATTGTCTTTAACGACTGATTGGAGAATTTGTAATTTGTTGAGATCATTCTAGGCCAAATTTAGTGTAATAGTACTATACAGATTTTCAAAATGTTTCCATATTCCACCATTTTGAATAGCCAATTCTTCCTCGTGTGGTTTACTGAAAGAGTGCCCTTTTTTTTCCAGAAAATATTTGAGTCAGTTGACTCTTCTACAAAGCTGCAACAGTTGGTTCCCACTTTTGTTGACAGTTTTGTCAAAGTTGTTCCTGCGGTGATGTGATGATGATGGGAGGGGAATGCTAATTTGGCCAGGCATATGCTTGTCTTCCTGTGGGTTAATAGAATCTGGAACTATGCCTGTTCTGGCGTTAAGGTCCCCACAGATCACTATGTTTGCTTGGGCCTGGTAGTGATTGATTTCATCTTCAAGAATTGAGAAGCTATTTTTATTATAATAAGGGGATTCTGATGGAGGGATATAAGCCGCACACATGAATATAGCTTTATCTGCGGTGGATTCTAAGGAGAGATCAGGATGTAAATTGTATCTCAATAGTCTGAAGTGGTTTGTTTTCTTTGATGCATCAAATTTTATTGAAATACAAAGCCATGATAAAAGCATTTTCTGAACATTGTGCTGGAAAAGTTTGACTCCTGAAAGCCTCATACCAGTCCCCTCGCAACAGTTGTTGTGGAATGTTTTTGCTCCTCAGAACAGAAGGGGCACTGACCTGTGTGTGTGTGTGTGTGTGTGTGTGTGTGTGTGTGTGTGTGCAGGTGAGAGGAAGACAGTGGTTTCCTGTATGAGGATAGCCAATAAAACCATGGAAGTGGTCAATGATAGCTACTGTCAACCTGAGAACCGACCACACCCCCAAGTACGACTCTGCAACTCTCACCCCTGCCAGTATAGGTGAGACAAACACACACAGGCCCGCTGAGTAGATTTGGTTCGATTGCAGATAGATATTTCCATAGCAAGGATCCACGGTAACGCTTTAGATTACAGCCCGCAATTTACACCGCAACTATCGAGTAGTTACGGTGTAATCTGTTGTACTAACGGTGTACCAGTGTAGTATGTACCAGTACATATATGTAGGTACAGGGGAACAAGATGTCAAGTTATGGAATAAGGGGCTAACAATTCGTGAATTTACAGAGAATTTATATTATAGGTTTTTTTTAACTACTGGGTACCTATTCTTTTATAACAGGGTATGTGCGACCTGCTGATCAATAATATGGATGTTTGGGGGGAATTTACAGAGAACTTATACAATAGGTATTTTTAACTACTGGGTACCTATTATAACAGGGTATGTGCAACCTACTGATCAATAATATAGACGTTTGGGGGGAATTTACAGAGAACTTATACAATAGGTATTTTTAACTACTGGGTACCTATTCTGTTATAACAGGGTATGTGCGACCTGCTGATCAATAATATGGATGTTTGGGGGGAATTTAGAGAGAACTTATACAATAGGTATTTTTAACTACTGGGTATCTATTCTATTATAACAGGGTATGTGTGACCTGCTGATGAATAATATGGATGTTTGGGGGGAATTTAGAGAGAACGTATAAGGTAGGTATTTTTAAGTACAGGGTACTTATTCTATTATAACAGGGTACAGTATGACAATAAAACTGAAAAGGAATCGGAGGGAAGATGGAGTGAAGACTTCTGCAGCAAGTAATAAATCAGATGTGATTTTATTTCAAAATGACCTAATTACAAACAAACAATCTACATTGTTCCTTTATATTTTCAGCAGGTAGCCTATACAACTACAGGGTACATCTGTGTGTTTACTTCGGAACAAAGATCCAGGGGACAGTATGTTGTCATGCACACTGTTGGCATCTGAAGACCGTCTCAGCTGTCACTCACCTCACCAGCTTTACATTACTGGATGTTCGTTTATGACTTCATGACTCCGCTTGCTGTCGGCAGACAGAATTCACCCACCCTAAATGTGACTCACTTGTGTTTTGGTGTAAACACGTTGACAATTTTGAAGTCATTAAAATGTTGAAGGTCTTCTCCCTGGCAATTGTGTTCGTCCGGCATTATGGCTCCTCAACATGCAAGCTCACCTTTTTCCAGCTCTGTGCACACTCTCCTTTCATCCCAGAAAATAAATACAAATATAGCAAGATAAAACACAACGCATATGCTTGATATGTTTTACTGACAGCTTACTGTGCAGTTAATTTACAGTTTGTTCTTCCATGTTTTGAGGCAAGTAAAATCAAAACAAACATCTCACATTGTCCTCTGTATTTACAGAACAAGTGATATATGCAGTGGTAGTTTTCCTGTTGTTACATTTATTTACAGGGTAAGTACAGGGTATGCGGGCTGTATTCTAAAGCACCAGTAGTTCCCCCGTAGTTACATTTAGTTACAGGGTAAGTACAGGGTATGCGGGCTGTATTCTAAAGCACCAATAGTTCCCCATAGTTACATTTAGTTACAGGGTAAGTACAGGGTATGCGGGCTATATTCTAAAGCAGCAATAGTTCCCCCGTAGTAACATTTAGTTACAGGGTAAGTACAGGGTATGCGGGCTGTATTCTAAAGCGCTAATAGTTCCCCATAGTTACATTTAGTTACAGGGTAAGTACAGGGTATGCGGGCTGTATTCTAAAGCACCAATAGTTCCCCCTAGTTACATTTAGTTACAGGGTAAGTACAGGGTATGCGGGCTATATTCTAAAGCAGCAATAGTTCCCCCGTAGTAACATTTAGTTACAGGGTAAGTACAGGGTATGCGGGCTGTATTCTAAAGCGCTAATAGTTCCCCATAGTTACATTTAGTTACAGGGTAAGTACAGGGTATGCGGGCTGTATTCTAAAG